TGTTTATTTTATGCCCTATCTCCATCAGTCCGTAAAGTTCCAGAGTACAGGGATTTTTTTAATCTGTTTGTTCAGTGCTGTATTCCCATTATAAACAGATTTTTAAAACCGTAAAAGTAAACTATTAGCACTAATTAAATAGTGCACATGTCCTGAAATAGATTAGTTGCTTATGAAGGACCATGACACAATCATCAGCAAAAGCCTAGCAGCTTTCTCTTCTGTAATTCTGACACTAACATCATTTCATGTAGTTACATTTTCTATGACAAAACAAATGAAAATTAAGAGAGGTAAGATCGGAGTAGGGGATTAAGAGAGACAAACTAATATTTATAAAATAAATAAGCTACAAGGATATATTAAACAGCATAGGGAATATAGGCAATATTTTATAATAACTATAAATGGAGTATAACCTTAAAAAATTGTGAACCACTATGCTGTACATGTGAAATTTATGTAATACTGTACACAAACTATATCTCAATGTAAGAAAAGATAAATTAGAACACAGTATTAGTGATTATAGATAATTTAATTTATAAAAAGTAGTTTTGTAAAAGTATATGAGACCTCCAAGGATATTAATACACTCCAGAAAATTCTGTCTTCCTCAATCAAAATCAATGTACCTCTGTGACAGAAGTATGTTCATTTTTAAATTTCTAAAATAGAAGTTATAAATTGCCTAGTTTACATCAAAAGGTAGTATAAGGACAAAAGTATCTAGTACCTGAAAGTTACATAAGGTGGAGTTCCCTACTGTTTTCTCTTAGTAATGTGTATTTTTTACAACTATAATAATTATACAAATAAATATTAACATAAATTTCTAATGACAAATGATCAAAATATTCTATAAAAGCATTCCCTATACGTGAGTCAAAAATAATTAACACATTAATAAAGCTCTGTGATTAAAACAAATTGTCAGAATATTCAGTCCTTTCTATCGAGTTCACTATTTTTATACTGAAACAGATTAATTAGATTAAAAAATTAAGTGTAGTTCAGGTGCCCTCTAAAATAAAAGTATTAACCACTAAAATCCTCAAAACTAAAAGCTTTCAGATAATATTTTAATTAAATACACTATTTGAAAACTTTAAATATATCATGGAGCAAAAGCAATCATATTGAATTCAAGGGAATTTCAAAAGTAATCACCTTTGGAAAATTAGGACACAAGATATCTTATGAGAATTCAGAGACACAAACTGTCTTTGAATGAAAGGATAGGCTGTTCCCTTCAGTTAAGCCTTCAATTAAAGTATGCTTTTCCATTTATTAAATTCAGAATCTGGAATGATTCTGTACATCTGATAAGTTTTGATGAACTGCGTGAAAAATGCCAGTAATTATTAAATTTCCAAGATCTTGTTGACATTTCTGATTTTACTCCTATGCCATTTACTCACATGGCTCATAACACCGGATATGAATTTTAAAGCAGTGCAGGCCAGGCAAGGTCAGAGTCTTACTGATGAGATTTCAGCAAAAGAGGAGACGCCAATATTAAGATAAATAGGACTAAATACACAATCCAAAGACAGAGCTGCTTTTTCTTTTTTTAAATTAAGCCATATACCAAAATTTCTTACAATTCTGAAAACATCTATTTCAATATTCTATCTTCCTGATTTTTGAAGTAACCAAAGTAATACTTTTTAGCCTCTGAGACTATTACAATCAGCCTTTGTAAATATCCACTAACAGTTTATTCTAAATCAGAAAGAAAAACATTTACCCAAAGTCAAAACTCTTCTGTAGGATTTTAAAAGAAGATATGTATACTATGACACACCAATCTGAAGAAAGGATACTTAGATTTATTTTATGTGTCAATCTTATGTTTGTTCCAGCATAAAATAGATGAAGACATTAATGAATGTGACTTCAGTGGGAAAAAAAAGAGCAAAAGAAATAAGAAAATGAAAATTCTCATGCAAAATCAGTATCTTACTAACTCCTCTGGAGTTAGATCTTGGCTCCCAAGTAATATGAGTCAAAATGAAGTCAAAAGAAAACACTAGAAATTTTATCTATTACAGTACTGTAAAGTATAAACTTTAAAATTAGAATTTATATGAAACTTGACTCCATTTTTTAATAGTGATGTGGACTTTCATCAAAGACTCAGCTTGAGTTTCCTCTTCAAAAAATTTTAACAAAGTTACAGTAATTAAATGAGACACTGTAATTTATTGGTGTATAATTTACTAGACTGGTGAATTAGGTTCTAATGATTTTAGGTTCTAATTACCTGGGGAAAAATGTATTTTTCACTTCTTTATTCAATATCACTTTGTTGAAAAGTTAATCAAAGTTATTTTGCTTTTCTATTCTCTGGATAACCTACTCCTAAAGAGTTACCTTTCTTCTATTTTCAGCCTTTTAATAGTTTAACAACAACAAATGAGCAAGGCAAGCAAAACAGGTTGGTGGGGAAGCAAGTTGAAAAGCAACATGAAAAATCCCATTTGGATTATTTCATTAGTTTGTGCTTGCATTTAAATACATATTTTATAAGACTATGCCCCAAACTGTTAGTCATGATTAGCTTCAGGAGGTATTATTGTTCGAGACCTTTATTTTCTATTTTAAACATGCATGCAATATTAAAATTTCTTCTACTGTGGTAACACAGCTTTTAGAAAAAGACATTTGTTTTTAAAATGTGTGAGGTTGCTGTGGCCCACAGTAGGCTGCTCCAAGATATGCCTCAGTGGCATATTGACTATTCTGAATTAAGGGTTATGTGAGAAACAGCCAATGGAAAATAAATGATAAAAAAAATAAGACCATGTCTCTCTTACCCTCTAAAAGTAGGAAATACATCTTCCACATGAAGGTATGCACTCCTATCAGTAGAGGTAAGGAATTCAAAGCTAAGCAAGCTGTACAAACATATGTTGTTGCTTCGTTAGTCAGCTACCCCAAGCACAAGCTGCCTTGTCTTATCTCTTCACATATTGTTTCTTTGTCTAAAAATGACATGTAATTGGCCTGCTTTGGACACTGTGAGGGTACCATTTTTATGACTCGGTCTGCTCTGATCTGTTGTCTGACTCTTTGCAGCCCAAGGACTATATCCTGCCAGGCTCCTCTGCCCCTGGAATTCTCCAGCAAGAATACTGGAGTGGCTTCCCATTTCTTACTCCAGCTGATCTTCCCAACCCAGACATCGAACTCGTGTCCCTTGTGTCTCCTGCATGGCAGGCAGATTCTTTACCACTAGCACCACTAATACGTGCAAATTGATTTTAAATTAATCTATTAATCTGTCTTCTCTCAATTTTAGACCAGCCAAAAAAACTCAAGAAGAACTGGGGAAGAGGGAGATCTCTATCTCCCTGGAGAAAGTTCTGTTATCCTTCCTCGAGAATTTAATGGAAAGTTTGAGGATATCTGGATAATCACTATTGGCGACAAAACAGAAACACAATCATGAAAGTCTGTAACAAATTAAAAACACTCAAGCTGGCCTCCTGTTTGTTCAAGGTAGTAATATAACCAGATAACAGTGACATGATGACCACACAGTATCGACATAAAAATGCTTTAGATTTCCCTGTAGCTCACACAGGAAAGAATCTGTCTGCAATGCAGGAGACCCGGGTTTGATCCCCGGTTTGGGAAAATCCTCTGGAGAAAGGAATGGCAATGCACTCCAGTATTCTTGCCTGGAGAATCCCATGGACAGAGGAGCCTGGTGGGCTACAGTCTGTGGGATCACAAAGAGTTGGACATGACTGATTGACTAACACTACTACTAAATAAACTACATTTGTAATTTCTCATAACAGCAAACATCTATACAATGCACTTACTATGAGCCTGGCATTATTGTGCAAACTCAAATATATTAATTTACTTTATTCTCAAATGAACCTTTGGGCTAGTAATTTTATCCCCATTTTACAGGTTCAAAAAATGCTCACCTTTCAGAAAGTTGATAAATTTGCCCAAGGAAATACTGCCAAATTTTAGATTTGAAATTTAACTTAACCTAGGCTGTCTGCATCCAGAATCCAGGCAATTATGTATACACTCTGGACACTCAATACACTTTACAGTGTTTTTAATTAAGGGGACTATTAGAAACACGCTTTTTAAAATCTCAAGTGGTTCTTTCTCGTTACCATTTACTTATGTGAAAGGCAGGTACAAGCAGGAAGGGTAGGAACTGGTTAGAAAAGGATAACATCTAAAACAAGAGTTGTGATTGGGCAAAGACTCTGCTTTCTGGGTCACAGCTCGTCTTCCTATGTGACTAGGTTGCCCTTAGGAGAATTCCTGTTACAACTGTCAGGCTCTGCCCTTATTAGTACACAGGGTGTCCAAGGAACATCACTGCCATGAGCTTCCTCCCCTGTATCTTCCTAAAAACTCATTCCCCTCCCTTCCTTGCAGTGAAGCCTTCTCACTCAATTTGAAGTTTTTCTATTTCTTTAGGGATATAATTTATTCCTTTACCCAACCCTTTTTACCTTGAGTTCACAATAAACTAAGAGTGAGGTGTCTTCACTTTACATCATAGGTTAAGGCAGAGAGAGAGAGACAGGTAAAATACAATCAGTTGTGGTAAGAACTGGAGAGTTTACAATGTACATCTCTCTTCCGTTACCAGTCTGGTGTCTTTGTAAAAATATTTGTGTGCACTAATGCTACAAAGTATTAATTTTTTATAAATGCATGTATTACTTTGGAAGTTATTGATACTAACTGGAGAGGCAGAATTATTTGTTAAACAAAAGAGTAGGACACCTCCATGGCTACAGGCTCTCCTGCAATTATTCACATAGCAAGGCCTGATGACGATATACTGCTCATGGAAATTAGGTTTCTTCTTTTGCATAAATCAGAGTTTACCACAGACTCTTAAATAACATGTAAATGAGAGCATCAAATTTGCTCCCTTTTTTTTTCAAAAATAAGATACATAAGATAGATTAAAAACATGGTATTCCAAGAGTTGTTCACATCCTTTTACTTACAGCCCTCATAGATGTCAGTGGGAATATGAACGGCTGCGTGCTGATAGGATATTTGTCGCCCAAAATTAGCATCATCGATAAAAACAGGTTTTATCCTCTGGCTGCCTGGTTCACTATCATTCTTTTCTGGCTATAAAGAAAAGACAGACAATAAAGAGAATATTACAATGTATCCTAACACAGATATTCTCACATTCACTTTTTCATTTGCCAAATGCATATTCTTGACAAAACAGATCTATAAGAATATTTTAAAATATTCCCATGATAATATCAGACACCACAAATGTCCATTCAGGCACTAGCATTCACACTGCATCTTCACGGTAGGATTCACATTATGCCCTAACTTCTCTCCTAACTTCCTCAACACTGGAATAACCCAGGAGCATCCTGAGAGGACCAGGGCTTCCCCACGTACAGCACTTACTAAAAGGCGCGCTTAAAGGAGAGAATACAACCGAATTAAAGGCTCCCCCTTGAAATAACTTCACCACTTATGCTACACCTTTATATAATTCTTGGTTTGATAACTAATCTTACACATGAATACAAAAAATAATAGCAACATAGGATTATTTTGTCATAGTCCTTTGATTTTTGCATGTTTTCCAGGTCTATCCATTTTTGCTTTAAAAAGGAAAGTACAAATGCTCAGAAAGAAGAGATCTATTGTAACTCTAAGTACAACTGAATCCTAACTTCAACCAAGTTGTCTCCTGAGGTAGAAGCAAAGATTCAATCAATATTGATTCAAGAAAATCTCACAAGAGTTTAAGTTTGAAGATTAATTTTCTACCTATTTGAACTATGCTTCTGATTATTAAATTACCCTGGCAAGGTAATTCAGTTTCTCCTCTGGCAAGTAACTAAGAATCTCACTCATTTATCCAAAATGCATATCTCTTAACTGTATTCCACTTTCCAAAGGTAATTTCCACAAAACAAAACTGAAAAAAGAAATACAACATTTGACTATTTTACAGCACACTGCAGTTACACAACTGATAAACAAGAGAAAGAACTTAAGTGGACAATCTCATAAGGGTGGTAGGATGTGGCAAAACAAACTTTACAAAGAAGTAATAGTGTCCAACTTTCTAGATGGCTCTGAAAATTTGTACAAGATAACCCATCAGTATTCCAAGATATTTTAATTCTCTCTCTCTCTCTCTCTCTCTCTCTCTCACACACACACACACACACACACACACACACACACTTCCTTGTTTCCCTAGGGAAGCTGCAACATGGGAAAGATTATTTAGAAAGAAATATTGGCAAAAGGGCTTAAAAAAAAATCAATGATTTCTAAAGCTGCAAGTCCAACTCATTATTATGTAATGAAATCAATTTAATAGGTCATGACCAAATTATTCTTCAAATGAAACAATGTTGAAAGAAAACATGAAGATACACTCTCTATAATAAGGAGAAGGACTATATTTGGCAAGTGTTGTTTAGTTAGTTATGACTCTGTGTGTATGTGTGCACATCTGGGTATATGTCATTCAGACTGTAAAATTTGTGATTGATAAGCAGAGTTAAAGAAGGATCACTATTTTTAATCTATGTGAAAGCAACAAAGATATAATTGCCCCTCCATTAACAAAAAATATACAAAATTATGAAATTGTAGTGCTGAAAGTCTAAAATTTGACAAAAGCCTACATGCAGAAATTACTAATTCATATTACTTTCTAAAACAAAGGTTAGGTGTGTGCAGTGTTAAGGATAAGAAAAGAAAGAAAAAGAAAGAATGATAAGGTAATGCCACAGAACAAAACACTTAACCTAACACATCTACCATGATTCCAACTGTTAATAAAGGAAAGAATAAAAATTATAACTGGGTTTTGGTCCTGGATTCAGTCATGAATTTTCTTATAATTTAAAATTCATCCTCTATTCTATGATTATCTATGGAAACAATTGACTTGAATAAGAGGATGGAACATTAAAATGAACTACTTCCACTAATAATATGAATGTAAAGAGGGTCTCACCAAATAAATGATGTCATTATGCTTCTCCACTGCAAACATTCTGAATTAGCAAAAAGCCTCAATATTTATTTTAAAGCAGAGGTTTCTAGCAGTTTAGTCTTTGAAGAAGTGGTATCACCAACCACTGAAACATTTTAGAATGCAAGTCAGAGGTTCCACCCTAGGCCCAGTCAATCAGAAATGTCAGGGAGGAGACCAGCAATTCGGTAATTCAACAAACCCTCCAGGTGATTGTGACACACATTAAAATTGCAAGTTCATGGCTTTAAAACATCAATAGTTTAAATTAGACACACAATTGTTTTCATTAAAAAATTAGAATTGACTAGTAATAGGCATATTAACGGATGTCTGAAATTTTCTACCCTCCACAGGGAAGAAATACTGTTTTTTATTATTACTGAATAACAGATGCATGCACATAGCAATATGGCCAGTAATATTTATCAAAGGATATTTGAAAAAAAAAAAATACTCCCTGGAGATTCTCTAAAGGTTGGTTGCAACTTAAAATAAGTTGAGGTAGTAATACTCTTCTACTCTTCCATTAAGGAAACAAAAGCACATTGGCACATCAAAACTCTGAGATAAGCTTCACTAAAGAAAATAATATTTACCCTCAGGGTTCTCAAGCTCATCTGATACTGATTGTTTGTTTGTTTGCTTCATATAAAACCTGCTACAAAGCACATACTTACAAAACACCATGGAAAGCCTTGGTAGAAAGTACAGATATCAGAAGAGTTGGTTTTCCTCAGTTGTATTTAATAATGTCTTGGACTGTTTCTTGGACTTCAGCTTTCTGACTTAGGAATGATTCTGGGCTACAGGTGTGGTACCTATTCCCTGGGGCATATAAGAATCACCTGGGAAGCTTCTCCCCTCACTAATAAGCAGCAAATCACAGTAGGGAGGATGTTTCTGGAAAGAAACTCTCAGTTAATTCTAATACCCTCTCCTACCTAAAATAAGAACACTCAAACTAAAGAAACTATAAAGCTATTTTCAGTTATGGAAAATTTGCAGTTCCATTTCTACAATTTTAGAAAATATTATGTTAGTTTTTGTAAGCACATTTTTCCCAGAAATCCCATTTATATCTTGAGAAAAATTTAGATATATGAAAAGTAGAAAGACCAGGTGATAGATAAGAGATAGATAGTGAAGTACATATCTGAATTAGAATTAGGAATATGTGGATAAATGCAAATATTTCATTCATTCACTCAAGAAATATTTATTGGTAAAGTGGAGGAGAGAGGATTTAATGATAATTATTATAGAAATGTCATTTAATATTTAAATCCTAAAACATTCAACAATAGTAAAATGGTCACAATAATCTATTATGACAAACACAATTTAATGTCATTATTAAAGTGAGTGAAAGTGAAGTCGCTCAGTCGTGTCCGACTCTGCGACCCCATGGGCTGTAGCCTACCAAGCTCTTCCATCCATTGAATTTTCTAGGCAAGAGTACTGGAGTGGGTTGCCATGTCCTTCTCCAAGGGATCTTGCTGACCCGGGGAACAAACCCGGGTCTCTGCATTGCAGGCAGATGGTTTACCATCTGAGTCACCAGGGAATCCCGCTACTAAGCAATATAAAAGAGTAATTACATCAAGAATGACATATATGCTCTATTTGTTTTTAAATGGTTTTAGGTTTAAAAGTAGATGTTAAGCACACAGTACGAAGAGAAAAACAGCCTATATTTTTAGAGGGATAAGAAGAAAAGAGAAATGAAAGAATGAGTATATAGTTAACATTATCAGCACTATCATTAGTTTTATAGTTTTAATGGTATTCATCTTTGTGCTTTCTTGTTGTTTCCAATACAATAGAATAAACAAGTATTATACTTTTAATTAAAACATTAAGTTCTTTCTAGCGTACTATTAGCATTATACAATTATCTTACTAAGGTGAAAGTCGCTTCTATTTCCTCTGAATTCGTGCTCGCTTCAGCAGCACATATACTAAAATATTTCCTCTGAATCCTCTCACACTTAAAAAATTGTGCTTTAAATGCATTTTAATAAGATGTTTGCACTTTTAAACTGCCATGCCCGGAATACCCAGGTTGTCCAGTGGTTAGACTCGGTGCTTCAACTCTTGGTACTTGGTTCAAACCCTGGTTGGGGAAATAAGATCCTGTGGGCTACATAACACGGTCAATAAAGAAATTCAACAAATCACCATATAAAGGGCTTTGAAGAATAACTGAAAATAATGTACTTCTCAACTTACATATTCATGTATCAAGTCTAGTTTTATTGTGCCGCTGCTAAATATATTAAGAAAAAATTATATTGCTGTTGTCCATGGCCCTCCTTTATTACAGTTTCCATAAATGGCAATAAATTCATGAAAATATTAAACTTTCTAAATACAACTCATTTGGTTAAACATGTGAAATTCCAATATAAGAAAAACATGAGAAGCATGTTCCTCAGGCTAATCATCTAAATGTAACTTCAGTTATTAAATAACAGATTGGATCACTCAGAGACAGAGGTACCATCCAGTGCTAGGTGGGTCATTCAGTTTTACAAGTAGTACTTACTACTAAAATTAATTTGGAAAGTTATAATAACTCTATGACACACACAAAATAATTTTGCATATTTAATATATTTTTCAAATGAAACACTAATAATTGATTTTTATAATAAAAATTTGTTTTTTTAATTTCATTATCTTTCAATGCTAAAACTATTTCTAACAACAACAGATCATGCTGAAATTAAAAGTTTATATATTTCACATAAATTGCAGTAGAAACTAGCTTAATCACTATGCAGAATACAAACTAAACATATATACTGAAAAACTTTGTTCACAATCACATTATGGCTAATTTACCACCTCCTGCTCTCTGTCATTTTTTGTGTCCCCTAAAACCAAGAGAAAATGAAAGAAAGTGAAGGTGAAAGTGAAAGCCGCTCAGTCGTGTCTGGCTCTTTGAGACCCCATGGACTGTACAATCCCTGGGGTTCTCCAGTCCAGAATACTAGAGTGGGTGTCCTTTCCCTTCTCCAGGGGATCTTCCCAACCCAGGGATCAAACCCAGGCCTCCCGCACTGCAGACGGATTCTTTACCAGCTGAGCGACAAGGGAAACC